TGAAATCTTATCTCTAGGAAGCCAACCTTGTTATTGATCCGGCAAGAACACTCTCTTTTGGGAGGGCGATTCAATGTCGCTGCAAAGCCCATTTCCGGATCTCACGGTGTTGCGCTAACGGTGGAGACTAGTGGGTCGTATTGTCATACAACCCTCTCCCACTCATTATTTTACAAATATGTATTTTGTTTGAAAAACATCTCATGGTTTTCAAATCAAAAAATAAACAATTTATTTTTCGAATATGTGAAATTCCAAAATTTAACTCTTAAATTCAATTTCACATGTAACATTATTTTGCAAATCAATTTTGCAACTTAAAAATCAATTTAATCATATTAAATTGATTTTAGCGCATGGTTCTTATTTTATTTTATTTTTCTAAAACCCTTTTATAATAAATAAAATAAATAATAATAAATGCACGTGTATGCATGGCATGTTTTGAAACATATAAGTAGGCACAATATATCTATATGGCATGTTATATGCATGGACATATAATATATAATTATCAATATAAAATATAAATATATTCAATCGGCTATTGAGATGGATTTGACCGGGTCCGATGGAAAAATAAATTACAACTCAATCGAATAAATAAATAATTACAATAATTATATTCTTCCGTTACATCAACGGGTCTTCGATTCTTGAGTTCTTTATTCTTCGGCTTCATTCTTTGTCTTCGGGTCGGATTTCACCTTCCTTGGGGTCTGAAACATTTTCGGGTTCGTCAACACCCATTACGAGGGTTTCGGAAACCCTCGGGCCCGTTCGGGGTCCAATTACTAGATTTGGGCTGCCAGCCGTGTGCCTGGGTGTGCGCGCGTGCGGTCTGACCGCGCGCTCGCGCGGACTGTCCGCGCGTTGGGGCGCGCCGTTTGTGCGATTTTTGGAAAATTTTTGGGCAGTTTATGGGCATCTTCAAAGGCTTCAAACTTGATCTTCAAGGCCTCCTTTTGATTCAAAATTAAAACCCTAATTCTACCCAAAACCTAGAATTACAATAATTCTAATCCTGAATTAAATTACAAATAATTTATCAATGAATGAATATAACCGATCCATGGAATCATATAATTAACGACCAAATCCACCATCCATACATTCATCAACATGAATTATAATAAACATCTATAAATGCAAGTGCCTACCCATCACATACATACATAATTAAATATCACATATTTAATATATCAATTTTGATTATCAAATAATCGAAGCATAAATTAATATCATCTATAGACCGCTCTGATACGAATTGTTGGTTACCAAATCAAATTCGGATGCGGAAGCGTGGTGGAGGAACGGCGGATCAAGTATAACAAAAATTTTCCCAAAAATTTTGAGATACTCTTTAAATTATATTAATTTATGCACAAATAAATTAATCACATTAATTTATATATCAAGAACTCAATTAGGAAAAATACCTGGAGGCCGACTCGGAAGATAACTTGAGTTATTTGACCACAAACGATCCTAGCTCCTGTCATGCCCCCCCAAACGGGGTGGGTGACGTGGAGCTTGATTAGGGATTAATAAAGCAGATTCCCAGACGAGCCCCACTCGACTGAATTAAAATATAAATAAATTACAGAATTCCGGAGCCTCTGACAACACACAGGGCTCCACCCACAGGACATACAGTATCGTACATACATGAACATGTAAGTAATCATTACAACAGACATCAACCACAGTCTAGTTAATCCAAATATTACATAAGTTTATAGAATTCTCAAATTCCTTACATTTGTCCCAAAGGATGTCCACGATCCTCACTTGATTCCAACAGCAGCACAAGTCAGCTGCTCCGTAGCAATTATCCAGCTACAGTGCCCCGCTCCTAGAGTCTCCTAGGAGGGGTTTAATACATTTGAAACATAAAACGTGAGCGAAAGGCCCAGTATGATATAATTTTTAAATGACTTAAAATAAATGAATAAATAAATGAGCGAGTAAATAAATGAATGAATAAGTAAATAAAATAAGACATTCAGTTCCAACAGACAGCCGGAACCTCACATCCTTTTTCTCAAAGGAAATAACTGTAAATAACCGTTTTACAGGCTTCAGCAAGTAATTAGTACAAATTACTTACCTAACCAAGTGCCTCGCCTACCCAGACCGAGTTTCGAGTTCTGCCCCCGAGGATGCACTCTCAGCATCCTATCTAGGCTTACAGCAATAGACTCTATTACCAGTTCACAAGATCTCTTTGCTTAAGAAATCATTCATTAACTTTTCTGAAATCATTTTTATGACCCCACGAACTACTCAAGCCGCGGGCCCCATAACTGGGCAAGCCATGAGGTTCCATGACTAAACAAGCCATGGTTTTCAAAACATTTTCTTTCACAAACCAACCCCTTTCTTTAAAACATTTTCAAAGCCAAAATCCTTTTTGAAAACAGGCTCACAAGGAAAAGGGATAGAAATCCTACCTCGTACTATCAAACCTGGGACTAGCGTTGCCTTTTCCGGCTTCTGCTTCCTCAAGCCCCTTCAGTCTGAATCCTCAGCGATCACTGATGTAAGACAACACTTTAGGATTAATTATCATTCTTAAAGCAATCGAAATCTCAATTTCCAACCAAGATTTCCTATTAGTGTGCCCTAATCCATTTTCATGTTTCAAATTATCATTCCAAGGGTTTTCAATCTCAAAATAAGGATTAACAATGCTAATCCATTTATCTCAAGTCCCCAAATGAAGCTAACTTGGGTTCTCCCCGAAAATAGGGGTCAAGACAGCAATTTCAGGCCAAACAGGGTCAAACCCCGTGTCAACCGGTTGACCGGTGATAGAGCAGTGCAACACTACTAGTCGATCGGTAGTGTGCACACCGGTCGACCGGACCGGTCGACCGGTCAGCCTGCAATCCGGTCGACCGGTTTCCATATGATCCGGTCGACCGCACAGGTCGACCGGTAGAATCAGCTGCACGAGAGAAGCTCACGGAAATCAGTCCAAAACTAGTAAATCCAGTCCCAAATCGAAATATTTCAAAGGGAAACCACTAGATCTGGGTTCTAGGTCCTAAAACAAGTCCAAAGAACCCAAGATCTCCAATTTCTACTTTAGTTTTACTTAAAAACCATCAAAATCCGGTTTGAACCAAAAATAAGTTTTGAAATTCAAAAACTTGAAATTCAAGAGAGGTTCTTTCAGTAATCTTACCTCGAATCCTTCTCTTGACGTTGAAAACTTCTTTAAATCTTTCCTTGGTTCAAGATCCGTTTGATTTGGGACAAAAATGAGAGAGAAAGATGCACGGAAGAGAGAGATAGAGGGAGTGAAAGAGAGATGCACGGGAAGGAAAAGGAAAGAAAAGGAAAAGAAAAGAAAAGAAAAAGAAAAGGAAAGGAAAAAGAAAAGAAAATGACATGTGTACAATATTTTAAAAGAGCAGTATAAAAATGCGCTTATACACACTTCTGGGTTAAAATAAATTACTGAAAATAATTTAAATACCTTGGAACTATTTAAACTCACAAGTGTCAGAAACATTTATTAATTAATACTCAATTAATAATTCAGATTAGGCACACTAATAATCTCAATTACCTTAATTGATCTCAATTAATTCTTCAGGGTGTTACAGCTCCACCCCCCTTAGGCAAGTTCATTCCCGAAATTAAAGCCTACCACAAAGTGTGAACAGATACGGATACTGCTCCTGCATCATCGTTTCAAGCTCCCATGTTGCTTCCTCAACTCCATGGTGCTGCCATGATACTTTTACTAGAGGAATCTCACAATGACGCAGACTCTTTATCTTCCGGTCAAGAATCTGAACTAGTGCCTCCTCGTACGAAGCGTCATACTATATCAGAACGTCAAACCACTGCACTACAGCTTCCGGCTCAGGTTGACATTTCTGAAGCATGGAGACATGAAACACGTCATGCACGTGAGATAATTCAGGCGGTAAAGCCAACCGATAAGCCACCACTCCAATTCGTTGCACGATCAGGAATGGTCCCACATACCTTGGTGCAAGTTTTCCTTTCACACCAAATCGAACAACTCCCTTGCATGGGGAAACCTTCAGCAAAACAAAGTCGCCTTCCTAGAATTCCAAAGGCCAACGCTTTCTGTCAGCATAACTTTTCTGATGACTTTGAGCTGTTAACAGTCGTTCCCGAATCACAGCTATCTTCTCATTATTCTCTTGAATGACTTCCGGTCCAGTGCTCAGTCGATCCTCTGGTTCCAGCCAACACACAGGTGACCTAAAAGGACGACCATATAGAGCTTCAAACGGTGCCATTCCAATACTGGCCTGATAGCTGTTGTTATAAGCAAACTCGACTAGATGCAAGTATTTCTTTCAGTTCCCACCAAATTCCAGAATACAAGCACGAAGCATATCCTCCAGAATCTGAATTACCCTTTCAGATTGCCCATTAGTCTGAGGATGGAATGCTGTGCTGAAATTCAAGTCTGTTCCCATGGCTTCCTAGAAACTCCTCTAATACCTTGCATTAAAACGGGTGTCACGATCTGACGTGATAGACAATGGCACTCCGTGTAGCCTCACGATGTGCTCCAGGTACAATTCTGATAGAATCTTCTGAGAATACGTCGCACGGAATGGTATGAAGTGCGCGGACTTCATCAACCTGTCCACCACTACCCAGATGGCGTCGTGCTTCAGCTCAGTTCTCGATAGCCCCATCAGAAAATCCATAGTGATGTGCTCCCATTTCCATCCAGGGACAGGAAAAGGTTGTAACTCTCCCGCTGGCTTCCGATGCTCAGCTTTAATCCGGAGGCAAGTCACACATTCCGAGACATACTCACGAACGTCCCTTTTCATGCCTCTCCACCAGTACTGTCTTTTTAGGTCCTGATACATCTTTATACTTCCCGGATGAATAGTATACCTCGATTTGTGTGCCTCTAATCATCTCATCTTCTTTACCTCACCCGCCTTAGGAACAGCAAGGCGGTTGCGGAAATACAAGGCTCCATCCTCTCAAATTCTCCAATCCTCGAATTGCTCTCCATTCTGGATCCAAATCCAAATTCCTTGGAGGTGTGGATCCTGCCATTGATTCTGCTTAACCTATTGCACAATATCGAGTGTAGAGATCAGATTCTACACCATAGCCTGGTTATGATCTTTGTAGAACTGAAGATCATACTCACTCACCACTTCAGTCCTTTTCCAATCTTTCAAAGCTAATGACGCCAGAGTCCCTGTCGTCTTCCTACTAAGGGCATCAGCCACCACATTAGCTTTTCCAGGATGATATTGTAGAGTGAAGTCGTAATCTTCCATATACTCCACCCATCTCCTTTGCCTGAGATTCAAGTCTTTCTGAGTAAACAAGTACTTCAGGCTTTTATGGTCAGAAAAGACCTGAAACTTTGCTCCATAGAGATAACATCTCCATATCTTCAGAGAAAATATTACCGCTGCCAGCTCTAAATCATGAGTGGAGTAATTCCGTCATGTGGTCTTAATTGACAAGATGCGTACGCTACTACGCGTCCCTCTTGCATTAAGACACAGCCAAGCCCACTCTCTGAGGCGTCAGAATACACCTCATATGGTTTCTCACTATCAGGAATAGTCAAGACTGGTGCACTTGTCAGTCTGACCTTCAATTCCTGAAAAGCATTTTCGCATTCGGTGTCCCACTAGAATCTAACTTCTTTCTTGGTCAACCGAGTCATCGGTGCAGCAATGCTCGAGAAGTCTTTCACGAAATGCTGATAGTACCCTGCAAGTCTGAGGAAACTGCAAATCTCCGCTACATTCTTCGGCCTTTCCCTCTGTAGCACAGTCTCGATCTTGGAAGGATCAACAGAAATTCCCTGTCCTGAAATTACATGCCCAAGTAACTTCACTTCTGTCAGTCAGAAGTCACATTTCTCCTTCTTCGCATACAACTGGTGTTCACGAAGAGTTTGAAGAACAATTCTCAAGTACTGTTCATGTTCTTCCTAAGTCTTCGAGTAAACCAGTAAGTCGTCAATGAAGACGATCACGAACCGATCCAAGTACGGCCAGAAAACATGGTTCATTAGATCCATGAATGCAGCCGGGGCATTCGTCAACCCAAAAGGCATTACAAGAAACTCGAAGTGTCCATATCGAGTTCTGAAAGCAGTCTTCGGAATGTCTTCCTCCTTGATTTTCAGCTGATGGTACCCAGATCTCAAGTCAATCTTAGAGTATAACTGTGATCCACCCAACTGATCGAATAACTCATTGATCCTCGATAGTGGGTATTTGTTCTTCACAGTTACCCTATTCAATTGACAGTAGTCAATGCACAACCGAAGAGATCCGTCGTGTTTCTTCACAAATAGCACCGGTGCACCCCAAGGGGAAGTACTATTCTGGATATACCCCTTTTCTGCCAGCTCATCAAGCTGCGTTCTCACCTCTTTCATTCCCGCCGGAGCCATCCGGTATGGAGGAATAGAAATAGGTGCCGTTCCCGGAACCAAATTAATACATAATTCAATCTCCCGATCTAGCGGTAAACCAAGTAGCTCATCAAGAAATACATCTGTAAACTCATTCACTACAGGGATTCCCGCACTATCTCCAGTTATCTCGGGTTCACCTTCTAGAGTAAGAAGAGAAGAAAAACATGCTAGATTCCTCCATCCCCCAACACTGTACTTCAACAGTCATTCTCCTAGGACTGGATTCATATCTGCCTGATAAGAAATCACTATTCTGAAATTCGTCACCAAAGTTACTTTTCTACGGTAGCAATCAACAATCGCACCGTACTTTGACAGCCAATCCATTCTGAGTACCACATCAAACAGGCTCATCGGAAGGATAATCAAATCTGCTCTCAATCGCTCACCGCCAATCGTGATTTCACACGATTTACACACACTCAACACCTCCACACATCCCAGTGGGGAGTTCAAAGTCATCGGGACTTTTAAATTCTCAGGTTTCAGTTTCAAAGTCCGTACAAAAGAACTTGATATAAACGAGTGTGTGACACCTGTGTCAAACAACACGTGAGCAAAAGAGTGAGAGATTAAAATCGTACCCTCAACCACCGCGTTGCTGGTCTGACGTCCAGAACTGCCTCCTGCCAGGGCATAAGCTTGTCATTGTACTTTCCCTTTCCCTCTGTCACCAACATTAGGCCGTTGGGTCAGAGGCCTATACTGTTGTGGTGGAGGTGGTTACACCGGTCTCGGCGCTTGAGGCAGAAATTGTGTAAGCGGAGGTGGTTGATAAGTCGGCACAGGATGGTATGACATCTGTTGTGGCTGATATGGTGGCATGTACTGTGGTGGCCCTTCTTGACTGTAGGAAGCGTCACTTTAGGCTTGTTGAACCAGCGGTCGATTAGGATAATTCCTCCTAATATGGCCCACCTGCCCACAATGGTGACACCTGAGCCCGTACGGAGCATTTATGTCACTTCTGGATGAACTACTGCCACCGCTTGCCATCTCCCCAACCGTTTGTCCCTGGTTGTGGTTTCTCCTACCGCTCCGCTATGGCCCACCTGAGACAGAAGGTCTACCAGAGACAGAGACTTGACCCATTGCTTCTTTGCTTTGGTGATAGGCCAAGTTATCCTATTCCACCCGTGTAGCAGCAGCTACCAAATTCCGGAAGTTCCGAAGTCTCAGAGCCACCAATGATCTCCTCACAGAGTTCTTGAGGCCCTTCTCAAACTTAAGACATCTAAGGTGTTCAGATTCCACCAAAGATGGCGCGAACCGGGACAGGTCATTAAACTTGGCCTCATACTCCCTTACAGACATGTCCCCTTGCAGCAGAGACATGAATTCCAGCGCTTTTTCCTCCCTATAACTCTGAGGGAAATATTGTTCATTGAAAAGTGTCTTAAATTGTTCCCAGGTCAACCCTGCGACATCTATTCTCCTTTTGACTTGTTTCCACCAAGTGTTTGCTAATCCCTCCATCTTATACACAGCAAATTCCACCCAGTACTCATCTGGAACTCCTATAGTACTCAAATGCTTGACTATGGAGTCTAACCAGACCTCTACTTCCTGGGGTCCTCCCTAACTATTAAACGAGGGGATAGGCGCACGCCTAAATTCCCGGAAGTACCCTTGCTTCCTATCCTCAACCGGCCGCTCATTTTGAGCTCTTGTGGCCATGCCTTGAAAGGCAGCATACATGGCATCCAGAAATCCTTGATTCTATTGTGCCGATTGATTAGCGGGCCTACGGCGAGGTGTCATTTCCTTTAACTGAAATAAAACTAGACTATTCAGTGGATTACAGATGTCACACATGTATGTACAATCCTGGAGTTTCTTAACCTAGGGCTCTGATACCACCTTTATCACCCCCCCCAAACGGGATGGGTGACGTGGAGCTCGATTAGGGTTTAATAAAGCAAATTCCCAGACGAGCCCCACTCAACTGCATTAGAATATAAATAAATTATAGAATTCCAGAGCCTTTGACACACATGGCTCCACCCCACAGGACATACAGTATCGTACATACATGCTCATGTAAATAATCATTACAACAGACATCAACCA